TTCATGTCGAATTCATTCAAGCCCGCACCTGCGAGGTGCTTCATCATTATCATCATCATCTCGTGTTTTGCTGATTTCCTGTCGTAGTTGTTGAAAAGGAATTCATATAATTCGTTGGCTTCTTGAGGTTCATCTTGGTTCTCCATGATCATAAAGTTAGCGGACTGGCGCTGCTTTTGCGAATAAAGATGAAAACTGTCTCTCGGATTCAGCAGTTGCTCGGGCCTCGGAGCCGGAGCCGGCTCGGGTGCAGGAGCAGGTTCGGGCTCTGGCTCAGGTTCGGGAGGAGGAGCAGATGCTGGTTCCGGTGCAGGCCCGGGTGCAGGAGCAGCTTCGGGCTCTGGCACAGGTTCAAGAGCAGGAGCAGGTGCTGGCTCGACCATCGGCACGCCTAGGTCGGCAAGTGATTTTTTCAAACGATCTTGCAGATCATCGCGAGTTTCAGGTGTTGTGACTCCTAGTGCGTTAGCTGCGTGTAGCTCTCCGATAATGTAACCCAGTTTCGGATTAATTCCTGAAAAGAAACCACTGTGTGTAACAAAGGCAGCCGGTCGAAAGCCGACGGCGTATAAAGGGTTGGTGCCGTCCGGGTTAGGTTCGACCACGTGCCAGCTGTCCAACATTGTCAGCTTTTCCGGGTCAAGTCCGCCCGGGGTCTTTTTCTTCCACGTGACGTAAATCCCCCAATTGACGTCCTGCGCGGTGATAGCGGTCACGCGGCATTCTTTTACGACGCCGAGGAGCGTCGCGAGCAGCACGTCGCCTTCCGCCACGTCGCGCCACTTTAGCGTGCGTTCGTCCGCCGGCGGGCGCCTTCTATGCTTGAATTGCTTCGGCGTAATGGCGGGTTGCGTCGCCATAGTGTGTCGCTAACTCGGCTTAGCGAGAGCTAGAAACGCCTATGAACGCCTATGAACGCCTATAAACGCCTATAAACGCCTATAAACGCTTAGGACGGCTTAGATATATCTACTGAGATATATCTAGCAGCACTTAGGACACG